TATTTCTTGCACATTCAAGATCTAGTTGGAACAACTTTTTAAGAGAATGATAAATGGAAACTTTCTTTACCTGGGCTGTCATTTGTTCTGTAGACTTAATGACATTCAGTACTATTATACTCACTTCCAGGGCCTTGGGGGAAAAAAGAATATTTGTACATTGAGTTATGGCTAGATGTAGGAGGCCAAAAAAAAAAAAAACAAAAGATGGGCAGGAAGTCAGGCTGTATAGAACAGAGAAGAATTTGAGACCTTCACTATACATGGATTAATCACAAGAACTAACCATGCAAATCGAAATGGATATTTAGAAATAGGTGAAGCCTCTAAGATGTTCTGTGGGAAACACCATACATTTTCTAATGCATGAGTATGTGCAAAATGATATCTAATTTATAATTGAATTGTTGACAGAACTTTAGATTTGGTGTTACAAATGTTCTCCAGAATATGTTTACATGTGAATAACATTTCACATATATGGATATGTATGTACTCAATATATTTCTTTAATTGGTATTATATTTAATAATTTAGGTGAATTGTTATAAAAGCTGCAGTTTTACTAATCTTACCTTAGTTCAGCTTTGGGAACTGCATTACTAGGAAATTGGTCTGTGAAAATCTGGCAATATTAACACTATCAAGCATGAAAACTAACTGGATTGGATCAGAGACCTTTATTTATGACATTTTATTCAAGATTTATTAATTTAAAGAAGGAGCTGTGTGTCTCATGGGTTCTTAGGTATTAAATAGAGCCAGAAGTTGTATGTTCCCAATGCAAGCAAAAACAACGCAGACAATTTTACATTAATTTCAGTTTCCTTACATTATCCAAAGATAACTTGGTGAAGTAATAGCAAACCCTAGAAAATTTTCAATCATACCATATAGTTGGTTGCAGATGTGCATAAGGTTTTTATAATATAGCTCATAATTAATTAAGAGAAAAATAAAATGACTTCATAGTAACATGGAAAAACACATTGAGCCTTTTCGTATTGAATAAACAAACATATTTATATGCTGTATTTGTTATTCTTATGTTTTTATGCTTATGCTTTATGCTTTTTTATTTTTTCTGCCTTTGTAAATTTTTCTCTCATTTCTTGGTAAAATCATCATTATGGTTTGTTTTTATCCATGAATAGTACCTGCAAGTTCAGAATCAGATGGATTTGCTGTGAGTCAAAATAGTTACAAGGGGAGCATCACCATGGCTCATTTTCCTCCCTGTTTTATTTGGAATTGAATTAGGAAATGAAAGTTTTTAGCAGTTTAATTCACTTCTCCATAAAGTTTATGGAGCAGCAACAGCTGGTTGAATTCATGGCAGAAAAAGCGAACTTCAAGTGGCCAAGCTATTGTTTCAGAATTAAGGGAGAAAACTCATTAGCTGTTAATGAAAACACAGGGAATAAAAACAAATAGCACAGAAACCCTAGCAAATAATTACCTTACACCTGACACAAAGCTGCTTTATCTTTCTGCTCCAACCCTCAGAAATTCCCAACTTATCACTCTGTGGAGCATGAATGAAATTGAGTTTGACTGGAAGGAAAGAACAATAGAGAAGTAAGTCATCCTCCTTACAGGCCCCTCAGCACAATACTCAGTGGAAACCTGCCACTGAATATACTAAGGGATGTTTCTGGTGCCCAATTCTTATGACACTTAGGATTAGAGGAGCAAATTACCATCTAATAGCAGGTGAACCCTTAATATAGTTCCCCCAGATCTTGTTTAGAAATACAAAAGGAAGGGACTGAAGGTAGTGGATGTGATTAATGGAGATATTGTGTGTTAGAATATATATATCTGGATAGAAATATATTGATTCTGAGCGAGTTACAATGGGAAAGTGTGTCTCTAGTGGCTAGGGGTCTTGCTTGTGAGAAAGCCACTCAAAGCAGGTGGAGTTCTAAGCTCTAATTGTAGAGCTACTGGGTGGAAATGTCTGTCACTATAGTTTGTGATCATTTATGTCTGATCCCACTGGACTGTGGTTGTGGCCACTTGTAACTGCAATTGTAAGAGCTGTAGATGAATCCAGAGATTACTTCCGATTATGTTTTAAGAAAAAATTATATTCTAAACTTCAACAAATCCAAAATGACCACAGTAATTGTTAGTTCTTCTATAAAATTTTTCACCCATGCATCTTGAATAATTGTAATCATTTTAATTACACGGGAGTGTCTATTTATATAATGTCACTGGCTTTTTTTTCTGTGTGTGCCCAGGGGAGCTGGGCCACTTGATATGACACTGAAAACACTTACAGCAACATTTCCCTCGTCAGGAACTAATTACACTTGGATGTAAAACATATTTTTAAATGTTTCTCCCACTGCAGTCATTTTTAGTACTGACCTAGGCTCTGTTTTTCCTGCACTGAGTTGTATACCTTTGTTGTATACTTTACAGAGTCATGGTCTTGTATTTAGCACAGAGGTAGCTGTTAAAAACTCACCTTGAGTAACTATGTTTAGATACCATAGGAATCACATGAAAGTGACTTTTCCATCTGAAGTTAATAATGCATGCATGCATGCTAAGTCACTTCGGTCGTGTCCAGCTCTTTGCGACCCCGTGAACTATAGCCAACCAGGCTTCTCTGTCCATGGGATTCTCCAGGCATGCCAAATCCAGGCAGGTATTTTGGATAATACTTTAAAAATGGAAGCTCTAAATATAACTGGATTGGATCCTGTGACAGGAAAAGGACACTAGTGGGGAAACTGGTGAAATCTGAACAAGGTCTGTGGTTTAGTTAATAGCAGTGTATCAACGCTAATTTCTTGATTTTGACAAATATACACTGGTTATGTAAAAAGTTGACATTGGAGAAACTGGTTGAACAGTATGTAGGAACTCCTTGTACTATCTTTGCAATACTTAGAATAAATCCACAACTATTCCAAAACTTAAAAGCTCATTTAAAATAACAAAAAAGCAAAGCCCCTCCTGATTTGCTTTTTTAAAAAAAGCCTAGACTGCTAAAATATGAAAGAGTAGATTTGTCAGATTTCTGGAGCAAGCAGAAAACTTTGAGTCTGGAGTGACAGTTGATAGATAATGCCCATTATGTCCTACAAATGTTAAATTTTGCTTGGTAACCCATATGACTAATTTTTAACTGGATTTTTGTTTGGCTCAAAATTTTTAAATTCCTTTAACCTCACAGCTCACTTTTGGGTTGCTTGCCAGGCTGTACATTTAGATTGCCTTGATAATATAATTTCAGTGGATTTGCAGCGATGTAAAATTTGAGAATTTTAGCCCTCAGTTCAGTATTTGAGAATTTTTCTGCTTATAATAGAAATTTCTCAGCAGTACTTTAGCAGAACTACAAGCTTTGTATCTTGATCAAGTAACCTAGTAAAACAGAGCATTTCTTCCCACTCTAGCCAGTGACTGTTGTGTGAAGGGTTTGTTTGTTTTAATTTTACTTTTATTCTCCACAACAAACTCCACAGTTTATTTTTAAAGTTCTGTATCTGCAGGTGTTCAACTCAGTTATGGATGTCTACCTATCTTTGAATGTCTGCAGAGGAATCTAGATATGATCATCTAATTTATGGAAAGAGAAGGCTACAGCTTTGCACTTCTCATCATTTTATATCCTCCCTATCCTTCTAGTTTAATTGTAGGAAATAAACCTTTAAAGTGAGGCAATACAGATTCTATGTAGGTTGTTCGGTTTCACTGCTCCCTAGTTGAAATCCAGGGCCAAAACTCTACAGTGTTTACTGAGATTAGCATTGGTGATTTCCTTTGGAAATTAGTATTTGAGATAATATTAAATTCAGTTGAAAATCCCCTTTTCATGTTTGTGAAATGAACTGAGCAGCTGTTGGTGTCCTTTTATCAGCAGACTGTACCTCTGTTTGGGGGATTTTGAGGAAAGCCATTTGCAACGCAGAGCCTTTTCTTCTGGTTTCTGAATGAGCTAACATCTTCTGTCTAAACCTTTTAAAGTGTTGTAATAGCATGGGCCACTTCTACAAAATATAATCCACTAGTGTGTCAAAAACACCCAAAAGAGATTAACATTGTTTTAATTGCCTTATTCAAAATTGTATATACATTACCTTTCATCGAAGCCATTTTGCAGAACAAATATTACCTTCTTAGGGTTTTTAGAATTCCTAAGAGGTTGGTTGCATAGGCTGTAAACCAGAATTATAAACAGAACTTCCTTAAAATTGCAAAACAAGTAGTGATTTAAATTGGAATAGTCCAGGTTCTCTCCAAATTTTACTTCTCTTATTTTTTAGCAAAGGAAAGAATCTTGACCTTGCTGCTGCTGCTAAGTCACTTCAGTCGTGTCCAATTCTGTGCGACCCCATAGATGGCAGCCCACCAGGCTCCCCACCCCCGACCCTGGGATTCTCCAGGCAAGAGTACTGGAGTGGGTTGCCATTGCCTTCTCTGCTTGACCTTGCTACATTGTATTATGTATAGAAGTATAATTTATTCTATTTCATTTGGAAATAGAGGCATTAAGGGTAAAGGTTATAATTAATGGGATATTTTTATAACTTTTCATTTTAAGTGTGATGGGGAAATTTCTTTCTGGTGGCAAAAGGTCTCCTCACTTTAACAGTTTCTAAGTTCTAGTTAGTTGAATGGAAAACTTCCCATCCAGGTGGATTGGTTCTATAGATTATTTATGTGTTTCTTTTATGTTAATGGATATATATATTTGGTAAATACCAGAAGGAATCTGGGCTTCCCTGGTAGCTCAGATGGAAAAGAATCTGCCTGCAATGCAGGAGACCCAGGTTCAGTCCCTGGGTTGGGAAAATCCCCTGGAGAAGGGAATGGCAACCCACTCCGGTATTCTTCCCTGGAGAATTCCATGGACAGACCATGGAGTCACAAAGAGTCAGTCACGACTGAGTGACTAACACTGGCCTCTAGAAGGAATCTACAAAGACGTTTATTAGGATGTCAGAAGTATGACCTTTTTTCCTTTCTTTTTTGTCCTTCAGGAGGAGACCAACCTGAAAATTACCTTGGACAGGACAGCTCCGATGATAATCACAGTGGAACTCATGGCCCTTCTTTTACATCAGATGCACCTTTTTTGTCAGATTATCAGGATGAGGGTGAGTGTCATCTTTCTGTCTTTAGGATGACCATACTTTTATACTTTTTGTCCTGGGGTCTTTGCCTTTGGTCATTTTCAATCCAGCAGTCTTCAGAAGGTTCTCTGTACTGGTAATCACTCGTTTGCAAAGAACAACTATTTGTTTCATTGTGGTGCTATCCTCCCAGATAATTCAATAGTTCTCAAGTTAATGTACTTAGGGAAACACTAATTCCATATTGGAGCAGGAAGATATCATTATCGATCTTTCTATAAGAACTGTAGCTGAAAAGCGAAGAGACCTTTTTAAGATTGCAGGGCCCAGTCTAACGTTCTTCCATACTTTTTAGCTTCAGTGAAGTTCATGAGAATTAGAGCTTTTGTTTAATGATTATTGAATTATTGATTCATTGAGGATTATTTGAGACTCTTGAGCTTATCATGTTATAATAAGATATCATTTTGACCTGTACTCACAGCCCTCTGACCATATTGGTGTTGTCCAAGGGGAAGGAAAAGCCCTAAGAACCATTATGCAAATCTTCCTGGAACATCATTTTATTTGAAGATTTGGGAATGGGAAGAGTTAAATAATTCAACTCTTATAAACATTATATTAGAAACACATTGGTATGTAATACAGTGGCATGCAAAATATATATGAATTTTAAAGATACATGAATATAAAAATTTTGGCATGGTGGCTGCCAGTTTCTGGCTCAGGCTCAGATATCCCAGGGGTGGGAGTTCACTGTGCCTTTTCTGGCATTTGGCCACTTGAACAGAAGGTTTGATCATCATTGATGCACATGGTTATCTTATCAAAGTCTCTCTTGTGCCTTTGCAGTGTGTGTGTGCCGGGGGGAGGTAGAAATGCTACTAAACTGAATATTAAATCGGAAGCTTATTATTCACTTAAGGATTGGGAGTAAAGTTTGTAAATTTTTCTTTATTAGTCTGTGATCTTGGTGTTTATTTTCTTCCCAAATTTCCCTCTGACTTTGGCATTTTCCAAGTGTTCATAATCCCTGCATTCCCTTCTCCTTTTAATTTTTTATTAATTCTTATTTAATTTAGCTATTTTGGTGATTTCGTATTTTCTTTTTCGTTGAATTGATAACCACCAAACAGAACTATAGATTCAGTCATTCAGAAGAAGTTAATTTTGTTTGAGCTTTGTATCCTAGCTCAATTAGTAATACCTAAGTTTTTATACTAAAAACATCAGTTGGATTGAAAGCTTAATAATTACATTGGTAGCTGATTAATAATTATACAAAATTAACAGTGCAAAACAAAAAATTTGTTTTGTTTGTTTTTGATCAATCTAATGCTTGACAGAATTAGAACAATAGTACCTCATTAATCCATAGGTCACTTACTTAGTATTTCCAGTTTTCCCAAACACAGCTGAGAACACAATAAGTAAGCCAGAAAGGCCTCTAAGTGGAAATAGTATATTTAAAATGTTTTCATTAAAAATAGTGAAATTAAAGAAAGTGATTAGTGTTGAGAGAGGTAAACCTATTACCTGGAAAATCCCAAAGCACATTAAAGTTAAAAGAATTCCCAAAGTGACACTGTTAATAGTAGAGGTAAGAATAGACTTGTTTGTTTGATTGTCGGATGATAAGCTATGTTTCTGCAAAACATTGAATCTAGCAAAGTGCCTAGTGCCTGATGGATAATAGGCACAATAAATGTTTGTTTCCTTCCCCTGAAAAATAAAGTTATGTACACTTCTTGTGAAATTAAAGAGAAGCTGATAAAGATGTTAAAATTCTAAGTAAACTTTATATCCTATTTTACTAGATTACACCATTATAGAGAACAGTAACATTTGATATGCTATTTATTCATTATTTTAATAAATACTTATTTAGAGAGTATAAGGTAATACTGTGCTAAGCTATAAGTGAAATAGGCAGTTAAAAGTCAAACACTGTCCTTGCCCTCATGGCGCTGATTATCTCATTGGGAAAACACACTATTAATATGTTGACAAATGGACAGATACAAAGTCAGTGTCTTCATTTGCTGATGAGATAGCTACAGTGATCTATTAGGAACAAAAGATTTAAAAAAACTTTTTATTTATAGTGGCATTATTTTAAACACTTGGAATTTTTATCTTTATTAGAAAAATGAAAGGTGAGTCCTAAAATTTTTCAGCTTGGTTGCTTTCCAGCCCTAGCAAGATCAGTATCCTAAACGTACAACTATGCAAGGACACAGTCTGACCCATTTGTCCATAACTCCAGTGATGAGAAGCAATAACCATGGTGCGTGTCGTGTTTGGGTCATGCTTTTGTGAAAACTACAAAGAGATCTAGAAGAATATAGAAACCTGACCAGGTGCACAGCATAAAATGAAAACCAAGGTTACATGCTAAACCATGCATAAAAATGAGAGCATGTTGCTACCTAATCACAATTCCTTCCCCTCTTCCTTTATAAATTGCCCTCAGTCTGAGAATGTCAGGCTATAGCCTTGGGAGAGATACCTACAAACAAGAGCATAACCCCATAATCAGGAATGAAAACTTGCTAACAAGTAATAAAATTTAGATTTATAGACTTAGGGAGGCATAGTTTCTACTATATTGAAGGAAAAAATTTTTAGTATGAAGCATTTAATACAGTAACTATACAAAAGCCAGCCAACTATGAAGCTCAAAATCTGATTGCTCTCATTGTCCAAAATATACAGTGGATATATAATTATGAAGAACCCCCGTGTATATACGGGACTTTCCATGTGGCTCAAGGGTAAAGAATCTGCCTGCCAAGGCAGGGGATGCTGGTTCAGTCCCTGCATGGGGAAGATCTTTTGCAGAAGGAAATGGCAACCCACTCCAGTATTCTTGCCTGGGAAATCTCATTGACAGAGGAGCCTGGCAGGCTGCAGTCCATGGGGTTGCAAGAACCAGAAATGACTTAGTGACTAAACAACACATATATAAATTTTTTCAAGATGGGTTAGGGAAAGTGTTCTGTAAAAGGTTATAGTGACTCCTTCTGGAAGAAAAATTTAAAAAATAAAATGATTTTAAGTGAAGAAACCAGAAATCTGTAATAATGTATTGATATTATGTATCATGTATTATTACCTTCTAATTAAAGAAAAGGTAATAAATGGTATTGATCAGATATATCTGGGAAGAAATGAGGAAGAATGTTTTTAGAACTTAATTTTACATCTGGATGTTAAAGGTTATAAAGCTTTCTTGGTCTCCAGCAAAATGAAAAATAGAATTGGAATAGTAAAAACCTGTAACCATCATTGGAGGAGAGTAAAAATGATTAAGTGTAGAGCCTTTATAGACCAGTTTATGTGCTACTTGATTTAAAAGAAATTGTAGACTTGTTAATGTACCAGTAGTGGCCATTTTCAACTCCATGCCTTTTCTGAAAGATATATTAAAAAACAGAATATTTTTTAAATAGAATCAGTTTTTATGGCTTTATTTTTAACACTTCTTAAAAACATTTCTCTGCTTTCAACTTGATTCTGAAATAGAAGGGTTTGGATTTAATATTATGAATAACAGACTAGCTTTTGTTGATCATTGTGTGTTTTATTTCTATAATGATAATAATAACAGGTGCAAGAAATTATTTTAATATCTTTCCTAAGGGAATAAAGAATATATTTTAAACAAAACTTTTATTATTGTGAAATTAAAATGAAGGTTTAATTTATTGATTAGATTTTTGTGTCTGGAATTCATGCTTGTCTTAAATTTCTTTATGCCAGAGTTAGAATCTTGAGATCTAGGAGTTGGAAGAAATGATGGGCATTTAGTAACAGGAATAATTTATTGAGCACTTACTATGCTGTGCTAAGTGCTTTTTGGTGAATTATTTAATTCTCAGACCAGCTCAGAGAGGAAAGAAATGTTTTCCCCATTTTACAGACAAAGAAATTAAATGACTTGGCCAAGGATGATATACCTGACACATGGGAGGTGTGGGTTGGGGGTAGGATTCTAATAGATTCCAAAGCTGCTGCTTTTTGAAGAGCTCTAGTTAGCTGAATGTTTGTCTTCTGAAACCCAGTCTCATGGACTTTATATATCATTCTCTTATTGTTTTTATTTCACCAAATATAATGTTTATTTAAAAATAAATGTATTTAAAGCTAAAAATTGTCCTCTAAAACCTACATTAACTACATCATACAAAATTTGATATATACCACTTTCATTATAATTCATAATTCCTTTCTAAGTATTCTGTAATTTGTTTTATGAAATCCTTTTTAACCTATGTGTTATTTAAAAGGGTTTTTGGGTTTTTCCTGGCTTTTGTTTTGTTTTAATTTCTAGGGATTTTTAAATATGCTTTTTAAAATTTGTTATTTTTCTAACTTTACTACCTAATAATATAAGAACTTAATCTATATTGTTTATCTGTTTTAGACTTTATTGAGACTTCTTTTGTCACCTAGTAATAACCAGCCTATGCTTATGTTCTATGTACACCCTGAAGTATTTATTGGGTACTTTTACTATTTCTATACTAGTGAATAATGTTCTTCAAATCTTTTGTATCCAAGCTTTTATCTGCTGAAAGTTTTGTGTTAAAATCTCCAGTTATAGTTGCAGATTTATCCATTTTCCTTTTTTGTTTTACATTCTCAAAGTCTTCTAAAGAGGTCTAATTATTTTAAAAGGCTTCCTCTTACAGAGCTGAAAACCTATCCCTAGAACTTCCACTAATTAAGCTAGTTTTGCTATCTAAGTCTACTCCTGTTGTTGTTTAGTCAGTAAGTCATATCTGACTGTTTGTGACCCCATGAACTGCAGCATGCCGGGCTTCCCTGTCCTTTACTATCTCCCGGAGTTTACTCAAACTCATGTCCATTGAGTTGGTGTTGCCATCCAACCATCTCATTCTCTCTTGCCCCCTTTTCCTCCTGCCCTCCGTCTTTTCCAGCATCAGGGTCTTTTCCAGTGAGCTGGCTCTTCGTATCAGGTGGCCAAAGTATTAGAGCCTTAGCTTCAGCATCAGTCCTTC